CCTACACACCAGTATGTCTGGCCTTACCCCGCTCCAGGGGTCCCCATCGCTCACAGCTGAGGGCAAGTTACCCTCTGGCAGAGGCTGTGAAGACTCGGGCTCCAGTGAACGCATGGTCCCATCCTCTGATACCTGTGACTTCTCCGTGAGCTTGTCAATTCCTGTGTTCAAAAGAGAAAAAGCTCAGAAATACAAGGGAATTAAATACCCTTAAAAGCAGAGGGTTCTTCTCTGCCCTGCCATGCACAGAGACCCTACGTATCTGCTGACATTTGAAACGCTCTCCTTTCAACAGGAGAAGCAAGATCTAGCCTTGATTTTACCATCCCAAAGGAATTCATTTGTCTCTAGGAAAATGGCCTCTGATGTAAGAAGAACACAGGTTCACACGGATATAGTCAAACTGAGGCAAGAAGTCAAGACTAGGACAAATGGCCACGTGGACACAAAGACTGAGAGGAGAGAAATTAAAGGCAGTTTACTTTGACTTGTTTGTGATCAGCTTGGGCAAACTGATCTGAAACTGTGACTGAGAGGCAGCAAGTTATTCACAGATGTAAACTCTTAATCTCTCCCACACCCAGTGAAAGGGTGAGTCCACACCGTATCTCACAGAGAAAACAAGCCTCTCTCCTGTTACCAAGGTAAACTAAAGCAGACCTGGAGTAGCCACCAAACTTGTCTTCAGTGTCCCTGGGTCAGCAGGGGCAGCAGGACGTGATCCTTCCATGGAGATCCCATCCTGGGAGTTGGTGCGAGAAATAGGCTCAGGAGTTTTCTTCTTGCGCTGCAGACCTTTCTGGATGGACTGTGAGTCCGTGGGTAAGTTGGCCAGTTGGTGAAATACATTCCGCTTGCGGATAACAGCATAGACCAAATTTGAGTTCCCTGGGAATCAGAGCAACAAAATGAGCAGAGAAGGAAGACTTCAAGAGCTCTGCCAACACAGTACAGCTCACTGGGAACATGAACAATGACTGCAGAGACGCTGCAAGCTCAGAGAGCCATGCTTTCACCCACAAAGGTAACAGCATAAGGAAGAAAAAGCAGTTTGGTATCCTCTTATCCATTGCAAAGCAGTAAATCTAGTGAAATCCTTCCTAGGCTGGAAGGCTGACAAGAAATGGCTTAGATACTGACATTCAAACATCTGAGAAGAAAAAGTGCAGTTTAAACCACATATTAGCACGTATTTTGGAAGAAAAAGTTGTTAGTCCAGATTCAACATTTCTCCATCTTCAAAAGAGCTCACAAAACAAATCAGGGGCATTCCATTTGACGAGAAACATGCTTGAAATCAGAAAGCCAAAAGGTCAGAATTCTTACTGTCTGCAAGGTGGCAGAGGACTGAATGAAACCATCCCCTAAAACAAAACACAGATCACAGCTGCAAAGGCTGTTTTAGGGTCTGGTAACCATCACTTGCTTGATTTCCGTTAGGGAAGCAGATGGTTACTCTTGATTTGCAGTTTTAAAGCAAAACATTAAATTTTGAGCAGAGGGAAATATGAGCTCCCAGCAGGTTAAGGGATCTCACTCTATTATATCCTTGAAGTAAAAAACTGTCATGCTTTTAAGAAGGAAAGGATAAGGCATTTCCTGGAAAGGTATCAAGTGCCTGAATTTTGTTTGGATGAGGCTGTTTGGTCTTCAGCTCCAGTGAGCTGCCAGAGCAGAACTGAGAGGCACTTTTAAATGCTTAAGGCGGTGAAAGTTGTTTTGTCCACTCACCTACATTGCTGAGCAACATGAGCAGTTTCTCAGGAGCATCCAGGCATTCACAACTTAAGCATTACACACTCACTTTCCCTTCTTCTTCCCCTCTACATATCTCATCTTCTGGTCTGCAGGAAGCTGAGGTTATGCTGATAATTAGCTGCCATCTCATTTTGCTCTAACCTAGCCTGTCTGGGTCAGAACCTAACTCTGATTACATACTAACCCAACTTCTCAATCCTAGGCAAGTCTCCATGTAGCTGGTTTCCACACTTCTCCCCTTCTCTCATCTGTCTGGATTTTCACTGAACTTCCATCTCACGTTCTCTGGACTAAATAAGCACAAACCCACTAAATACAGCAGTCTCTTACCATCAAACTGGTACTGAATGATGTTGTTGAAAACTTCCAGCAAGAAGAAAACGAGATGGTGGTTCTGGACAGCAGAGAACAGGAACCAGGTGGTGGAAAAAGCCTCCAGGAGATGCAGTAACTTGTTAGCAGCCACCATGGAGAGAGACTTCAGGTACGGAGACACTGTGGAAGGCAAACAAATGAAAACTGGAGAAAAAAAACATATAAATACACCACTAAAAATGTTGCTTTTGCAACCTTCCCAGCCTGCACTTCTTGGAAAGCCTCATAGAATAGCTGAGCCCAATAGGGTTCCACAGAAACATTTCTAAATATAGAAGTTGTTAAACAGAGATATTGCTTAGTAAAAGCAGGCATTTGTGCTTATAGAGGGTCTTGTGTAGTTTTACACTAGTAACATCATCTCTGGCGTGCCTCCTGCAAAGCTTACAAACCTGGAGCCACCTGACACTCACTAAGCCCAAGGGAAGCCACTGCCACCATGGGGAGGTGGCACTCCCTGCTGGAGAGGAATAGCACTGCCAACCACCCTCATCAGGCCTTCTGGCAACTGCCCTTCTGCCACCTCAAAGGGGCTCCGGGGACTCTGCTGTCCCACCTTCTGCACCACCTGACTGAGCCCAGGCAATAAGCCTGCAGGCAGGTCTGATCTGCAGCAGGCACCTCCAGCACCGACCAGAAAGGCTCAGTTTCCACCAGCAGTCGCTGACACTGGTCAATGCTAAGCGACACAGGTAGGACCGCAGGGAGAGGGGAGTGAGAGCAGCCAGAGCTGTCCCCTCTGCGGGCTGTGGTTTCACACACACACAGTGCTTACCGTTCACAACGATGGTGAGCAGGCAGTCAAAGAGAGGCTGCAACCGCTGATGCCCACTGGTTATGATCTTGTGAAAGACCTACGGTAAGGAAGGAGTTCTTGAGCAAGGTACCTTACTGAAAGTATCCTCTCAACCAAAACCAGCACCGCCCCCACACTAATCGCTTCCTGACACCATTCCCTCCCAGGCAGGGCCCTACATGCTCCACAATTACACAGGTGGGGAAGGCTGCTCTCACTGCACACTTACACTCCAGGAGTACAAGCATTCATTTACAAGGAATCCTTGGGGATGTGATTAGGGCTCTACAACACTGCAAATAGAAACTGACTGTGAGCTGTTCCAAAATGCACAGGCAGCCTGAAGACAAAAATAAACCACCAGGAAGTAAGAAACATCTTCATCTCCAATGGATTTGGACTCCAAACTGATGATAGTTGCTTGAAAAGCCACAGAACTAACCATTTCACATTTGGTTCTAGCGCAAACTTGTAACGCAAATGTTTGTCCTACTTTTCTTAACTATACTCTCAGACATGGAAAGACTCAACTGCCTCACAACCAGTTCAGACATTCCTAATCTTGGCCTTCCCACCTCTAGCTGGCATGCCTTTAGAGAAGATCTGAAGCATAATGAAAATACAGAGATGACCTAAATTTTATGGAATGTAATGGCAAAACATATAGTGTCAAGAACAGTTCTGTTGGGTACATTTCTTCCTACTCCTTCTAACAGGAATCTCCTTTCAGAGGTTAATCAGAAGCTGCTGAGAGATTCTTCTCTGGCAAATGAGCACTAACATGCCAGGAGGGTACCACCTGAGGCTAGTACTGCAAAACACACAGCTGTTTGTCGGCAGTATTGTGACCCTCAGCACTACAGACTGAAAGATAAATGAAACCTTGCAGCAACCCAAAGTGTAGGGTTGAGCTTGGTATCACTGGTGTTCCCATTACGACAGATGTGCTCCACACAGCTCTAGTGACTTGGGACAAAGCCAGCAATGCAGTCAGATCTCCTGCCTTCCCCACCTGCAATCAAGTCTGGCAGAGAGCATGCACCCATCCCACTCATGCCAGTCCTGGAGTCCTTTAGACACCAGTCCAGTGCCATCCAGGATCCTGTTCTTTGGGATCATCTCATGCAGATGAAACTGCATCTTATGCATATTCTCCCTACCAGATACATAACCTCAGGTTAACAGCATGCAAAGATCCCACCCATGCATGGATGCATTCACCTTCTAACTACTCAATGGGCTGTCAATCTAGGGAGGATGAGTATATTGAAGGAGGACAATTATTTGTGGAGGTATGAAACGGGAGCTAGGAGGGACAGACAAGAACTGCTGGAGCTATACTCACTATGATAAGCAGATCTGCATGTGTCCCTGTGAAGACAGGGATGTCCATAGGCACTCGTACGGAATACGGCTTGTTCAGTCGAACCCCAAAGTTGCGCTCCCCACTGAGAAGCAGGAGGATAAAGACCCCAATGTGCATCAAGCCCACTCGCGCTGCAGAAAAAAAATAAAACAAAAACCCACACATCACAGCGAGGCCACCGGACTCCTGAAGACCACAGGGCAATGAGGAGAGAGGAGAAACGCTATGGGACTGAAAGGAAAACTGCACAGACCAGACCATACTGATAAGGGACATCTCCCACAGAGCTCCCTCCATTGCCAGTACCAGTGTCCTTCCCAAGCACATCTATGGGGCCAGTACAATGTTAAGTCTTGGATAGATCATGGTTTTCTTCATCATGTTCTTAATGTAAACCCATGACCACAGTAGGAAAGATCTGACTTCTTTCCACTACCCAGTGATGGATTTATGCCTGATTTACACCCAAGACAAGAGCAGATTGTTCATTTCACACTCTTCACGGGGTCAGGGACATAGTTTTCGACAAAAGGACTCAAAATAAGCTAACACATGGTAATGATCTCCTTTCCTTCTGTTGCAGTAAAGAGCATGTCCTGCTTCTAGTCCATTACAAACATTAACATCCAGCTAACTGGACCACTCTACTCCACACCTGCAGAAGGCTAGGAATACACACTCAAGATGCTATCGCATCTCAGCAGCGGGGAGAAAGCATCTTAGAAACATTCTAGCTCAACTGTCAAGCACAGATTATCCCAAATATTGAAAATAATCAACTTACACTGGTCTGCTCTGGCATCATTGAGAAAATACAAGATCGGGACAAGGATGTCCAAAACATCACTGCTCTTCAGCACAAAGAAGAGGAATTTCTGGAAGACAGGGGAGGATTTCACACAATCACAAGCATATTTGGTTTTCTGCACCATCTGCAGGACTAAGGTCAGGTAGCCTCACGCTAATTAGTCTTTCAAGAACATTAGAAAAGCTAGTGTATGCACCAGCTCTTCAACTCCAGTGTTATTTGTAGAGTTCTTGTAACACCTGGTCTTGCATTTACCTCAAGCACTGACCTTCAGGAGCTGCAGCCTCTCTCACAAGCTCTCCATGGAGCCAGACCCCACCAACCCATCCAGCAGGGAGCAGTGCTGCTGACCAGAATACCACAGAGTCACTGCTAACTACCTGCCCACAGCTCTTCACCAGGGCTCAGTCCAGCCAGAGCCACGCCAGGCTCTGGGCAAAAGGCAAGGTGTGGCAAAGCTCAACAAGAAGCAGATCCACACCTTGTTGAAGTCGCAGAGTTTCCAGAAAAGGACGAGGAGTTCCTGATGGAATTGGATCTTCTTGGCAGAGTTTGGCAGGTAGGTCTGGACCAGGGGGTTTGATAATAAGCGGGCCACTCCTTTCAGGATGAACTGGAAATCCTGCCAACAGACCAGGAAAGAGACTGTGGTGGGCCCAGGGCTCATGCAATCAGCATGAAATCAGACAGGAAATAGTTCGGGCAGGAGCACCTTACCTCCTCTCGGTGTATTCTTGAGAGGTAATTCACAAACAGATTGTCTGGTCCGGGAGGCTGCTTTCAAAGACAAGGAGTGAGATGCTTACTGGCAAGAAGGTTTACTCAGGAAGTCAAAGTGTAACCACTGGCTCTGGGGGCTAACGTCTCTCATTTCAGCTTTCCTCTCCGAATGATCCAGTTTTAAATGCTAGGAGACAGAGCATCTCAGAGAACAGTAAAGTCAAGGGCTTTTCACTTACATGCTCTTGATTCAAACCAGTGACCAAAACCTAGTGGTTTGATCATCTACAGCTGTTTAGTGACCTACAGGAAAGAAGCAGGAGTGGGCCAGAGATAGCAGACTACAAGGACAGGAGTGGTGCTGAGCCCTACAGGCCAACATTCAATGCAAGCTGGTGTCAGAGGACCACAGGGAGTTCAGGAGAGCAGCAAATACAGATCCCAGTGTCACTCACATCCACATCATCCATGGCCGTGCCAGTGGTCGTGCCATCCACTGTGGGACTTGAACTGGTGGAGCTGTCATAGTCCAAAGTGACAATCAGCACCTGGGCTGCCTCCTCTACCAGGGGCTCACGGTAGTCAGAGAAAAGCAGGTGATTGTAGGGAATCCCATAGCCCACCGGGTCATAGGCACAGACGACGTTCAGCAGTGAGGTGAAGAGTGGGAGTGCATGCCTGGGGAGAAGAAAACATTCTCAGAAGGCAGAAGCAGGAAGCAAAAGGTGCTGCCTTGAAGAAGAACAGGCATTTCCCCAAGAGCTTGGGGTCACGACAAAACACTAGCATCTTCTCTGACCTACAACAGTGACCCATGACTGAGTAGCCCCAAGACAAGAGCTAACACTCCAGCTCCCAGCTGGTCTCCTAGACTACAGCTGAGAGGGAAAGGGAGGTGAAAAAGGCTGTGTGGCCTCCCAGAGGAATCTTGTGCAGCAATGTGAAAAAGGGGACAGGACTTTAAAGCTCTCTAGACTCTGGAAAGACAAAACTGTCTGCCTTCAGCCAGGACCGTGTACTCCGAGATAAGCAACTGTCACCTGAGGAGCTGCAAGTCGCAGAGGAGACGATGCCACCAGAGGGCAGCACTCACCTGCCACCAACACCCACCACCCACCGCAGAGCCACGCCACCACCCTCACCGGGCAACAGGGTCTACAGCAGGGAACAGGATCTGCTATTTCCCACACGACAGGGACCAGTCCCACATCAAACTCCAGTAAGCACCATGCTCAGTCTCTCCTTTTGCTGCTGAGGAACAATTCTCACTAAGCAGAGATGTTACTGGGGCGTACATAAGACAGGGACAAAGAAAAATGGACAACAGCCCCTAGATATTGGAGGTAGCAAGTCCCCATTACCAACATACACCATGGAAGAGAACTGAACATATTTCTCTCCCTGGCACCCAGTCCCCCACTCTTCACCCTCACCTGTTCTCTGTAGAGCAGAAGAACTGCACCCACGGGTTGGCGTTGCTGCTGTCAGAGGAGGGAGGCAGATACATGGCCTCCGAGAAACAGGTCAGCAACAGCTTAAGCAGCTCTGTCCTGAAAGAAAGGGAGAAGCAGCCATGGCCTGGAGCCATTCAGGAGCCAGGGACTGCGTACAGGAGGCACAATCACCACAACAACACATAAGGAAGGCTCAGTCCCACCTAGAAAGTCCAGCCCATGGAGAGCTAAGCCCATTTCATTTCATAAGCAACACTGCTGTCATGGGTACAAAGCTCAGCAGAATTGCTGCCTTATGAAAAAGAAATACAGTACAGAGCTCCTAGGCATTTTCAAAGCATCAACATTTTGCCAGTTCCTGTTGCAGCCACTCTGACCCCCGTATCATACTACAAAAAAATATTCCAAAGGTCAGTTGGGTTTTTTTCTGTATCACCAGTCCTGTTAGCTCAGAAAGAAACAAGAAGAAAGCCCCCTGGGAATCACAGACACCCGAGCCCATCTGCCCCAGATCCTCCTCTCCTGAACCCAGCTTCTTTCCATTCTGCCTTTGTCTCTTACCTATTCAAGTCATGGATGTAGTTAGGCTGTGGAGAATGAGCAAAGCCCACTCCAGCCTCCCAGATGTACTCACAGCTGTCAATGGAGTGGATATCTTCTGCTGTGTCCTGTGGGGAGAAATAATAGGTCAGACCACAGAAGGCAAGAGCCAGAGTTGACAGCGCTAGAGGTGTCCAAGGCAGATCAGCACCTCTCTCTAGAAATAGCAAAGAAACCAGCACAGAAGCATCCAGACACTCATACCATCCAGACTGTCTCATAGCAGCCCCATCCATGGAGCACCTCTGATAGAGGACCCCTTATCTTCAAAAGATACTGAGCACCATGCAGAATGAGGCCTTTTCTCTAGCATGCTAAGGTGCAATGCTAGCCACCTCCACTGGGAAGGCTCACCTGATGCCAAAGGATCCAAAATACATTCTGTTCTCCTTACTGGATGCATCACCATCTCCTCTCTTTTCCTCCTTTCTCACAAAACATAGCCCAGGTCAGGGCTTTTTCCTTTGCAGATCAAGAGCATCACACAGGGGTTCAGTTCCATTTGACACCTCGACCCTATTTCAGAGCAGGTCATGCTGAGTTCATCCACATAATGGTGACTCACAACGGCTGCACCCCAAAGGCAGAAGCAGCAAATTAACCCTCACCAATAACAAAAGTGGATATGATTGCAACTTGCTTTTCAGAGAGTATAGCAAGAAGGTGACTGCAAATATGTTATTTCTCCTAGTGAGAACCTTCCCCATCCCTCGACAGGGATGGCATGACTCTCAAACTCTTGCTTTGCAACCTGAGGAGATGAACCACAGGAGTTTGCCACTCTTTGTCATGGTCAGTCAGGTCAGGGTTGAAAAAGCTTTGCAGAGACAAGCAGCCATTGAAAACCACCTGCTGACCCTCCAGGAATGACCAGGAGCAAGGGCCCAGATAAATATGTTTGCAACAAGTACACTTGGCACACTTTGGCTGTGTCTTTTCTGGGGTTTAATTAAGCAAATTCTGCCTTTTTTCCTCCCTGCACTTGGGGAAAGCAGATCAGAGGACTGTTTCTATTTGCTCTGGGTTTCCATTGCATAACCTCCCTCCCACAAAGGCACTGATCTCAGGACCTTGTTTGAGGGTAACCAAGATGTACTTATCACCCCAACCACGACTCCCACAAAACTAACATGTTGACAGCAGCTACTGCTGACACAGAAGCAACTGCGGCTTCTTCCACAATCTGGGCTTTCCCTGCCTTGCTACTGGCTTCCTACAGACAGGCTGGAGCTCACCTGCTGTCAGGTTTCTCACCAGGCTCCTCAGAACAACTCTTGATGAGACTGGAGTGCCCAGGACCTCCCTCCACAACCAAATCTTGAACATCTCCTGCCAAGCACAGGCTTCATGGAAAGAAATGCAATTACATCCACAAACCTGCTTCTACCGTGCATGGCTAAGCAGGAACACTAGGAGGAGACAGCACGTTACTAGCCATCATTATAGCAGTTCCCCGGGCCTGAAGAAGCAGGTGCTGACGTCTACAAAGAGCTCAGCCTTTGCAAGTAAGTGATAAAACACAGAGATGCACTGTGCATGACAGAGGGATCCCAAATTTCTAGCCATAATTCCAGGGCTGACTTCAGTAGGAGGGCAATCAGCAAAAGAGTATGGGTCACTCCTAGGACTTCCTTGCGATTCCCTCCCAGCTCTTACTCTTCGTCTTTACTCAATTCTGGTTCAGCAACTATCCACCACCACCTGTATCTCTGGGGCCGTATCTTCTGCCACGAGCATGAGGTGGTTGTACTCATCCCTGCTCTTAACCTGCAGTCAGACCCAAGAGCGCAGCTCAGACCAGATCCAGAGAGGGAAGAGAGTTAGGCAAAGGCTGCAGAGGCTGCAGGCAGCAGACAGGCAGCTATGAGCAAGGAACATACTGCATTCACGATCCCACCATCTAATTCAACTCGCCCAGAGCCCTGGAAAGCCAGGCTGGCTGCTGCCAAGGGAAAAATCTCAGGTGCGATGGGCGGGGGGGTCTCCCAGGAAAAACTGTTGTCACCTACACTTGTGCAATCAATCCCAAGAGACAACACAAGTCCATCACTTTCAGCCACACTCCCACTTACTCTTGGCACATACCTATGTGGCTCTGATCCAGCCTCACTCCTTCATCCCTAGGTGACAGATTTTAACCCTGTTTCTACTACCCAGAAACTTCAAGCAAGCAAATTACAACTTGGGTTTGTCAGGAAATTTTGAAGCCATCAAAATACACAGTGGTTTAGCATGTTCGTTTTTGATTTACTTCACAGCTATACCAAAAAGGAGGGCTGCCCGCTTTTGTTTATAGACTGGACCTACAACAAACACCATAGAGGAGTTGGTGAGAGGAGAGAGAGGGAGGAAGATGCCAGAATCTGTCCTTAGCACACCTGGTAGGAGATCCCCGCTTCAGGGAACTCCTCTGAAGTGAAGACAGTCACCAAAAAGATCAGAACACGTTTGTCTTTGCTGCAATGATATGAAGAGGGAGAGGAGGTGAAAAGCCACAACAGAGACCACCTACTCATTCACATCATAGCACCTGCCATCAGGCAAACAGCTGCTTCCTGGCCCAGACTGCACCAAATTGCCAGGGAAACAAGCAAGGTGCTAAAGGTCTCTGCTCTGCTGGCAACACAGAAGAGCGTTGTTTGCCAGCACAACCACCTTTTCCTGAGGGGCAAGCTGCAGTGCGTGGGTTAGTGCCAGCAACTCCATTTGAGGCCCACCCAGCTGTCTCAGAACATCTGTTGAAACAGGCACAAACACCTCACAGCAAACCCGAAATGTTGATCAATATTAGTCACTGTGGGTTCAAGCTCAGCGACTCCGTATATTCCTGCCTGCAGGTTTGCAGGAAGCTGCTGGGATTTTCCAGGGTGGCCCCCATCATGCAGCTAATCTACCTCTGTGCCGATAATCTCATGATTCAACTTACCACCGTGCTCCTCCGGTGGCTCTGCACAGTGAAATCGGGACAGAAGAGCAGATCTGCGACAGCAAGGAGCAACGACTCAGCCAGTGGCCGGGCATTTTCATCGTCATCATCTCCCTAAAAGTGAGAAACATGGAAGAGTATTGTCAGCCCAGGGTTAGCGAAGAGCACACAGTAACACTAGTATGTTAGTTACTTCTCTTCACAGGAGAAGACACACTCCCCAAGAACACACAGGGAAGCAAGAAGTTACAAAGGAACAGGAAGGAGAAACACACAAAACCCAGCCAGTAGAGGAAAGAAATTCCCCGCTGGAAGGTGATGACTAAATAGGAGCAAGCTCTTTAATGACATCAAACTGAGCAGACAAAGGCTTAGAGATGTCAGGGAAACAGAAGAGTAAAACTGGACCTTGCCACGTGGAGGTGCCTGACTTACTGAAAACAAAAGGAAAGGGAAACATTTAAAGAGAAGAGGGTTTTACAGTTATGAAGGAGAGTGATTTGGATGGTGCACAGAGACAGCAACAAGAAGCCAGCCAGCAGCAATAAGGTGTAAAACCTCTCAAAGTCCAGCACAGGCTGCCCAGAACTGGAGGTGACAGGCCAGGAGAGGCCACGTGCACTATGCTCAGCAAGGGGCTGCCTCAGCCTGCCATGGCAGAGCAAGCATGACAGCAGAGGGGATTGTGCCATCTCCAGTGTTTAAAGCAATCACTCGAATCATGCATGGCTACTCCTCTGCAGCCTTTGCCACAGGAAACCTTGCCAGATCTTCCCTGTCAAACAGCATCCTGGACGGGAGGCCTTCCCCACCACACACTGGTGCTGGAGGGATAGGAATGGCAGGAGCTTATCTATCTCAGCCAGGCCTCTGTCAGCCTGTGCACGACACACGGCTCTTAAATCACAGCAGGCAGCTAACGGAGATAATTGCCTGTGCGGCTCTGACGTCTGTCTCAGCGACAGCAGGAACACTACTAACAGATCCCGGATGTAAGGAGAGGCTCGGAGAGGATGGATGGTGCCAGCACAGCAAAGATGCTTGTACTTGAGCTTGCAGTCAGAGATAAAATGACAAGCATTAGTGTCCAAGGGGATTTTTTTCTCCAAGAATGATCTTTGCTAGCATTGTCTTGGCTGCCAGAAAAAGTCCCTGCAGGCTCTGGGTACCACCACACCCAAAATGGGTAACACATAACAAACCAATAGATCTGTACACAATACAGACTCTCTTACAGGAGGAAGGCACTCAATGCTCCAGGAGCTCTGCCATCCATCACTGCATCATGGAGGAGACAAAGGATAATTGCAGAGATATTTACTAATGGTCCAGGCATACCACCATCTTCCCCTTCACTTCCCAGGGAGAAATCGGTCTTCAGACAGAAAAGCAGTTGCCCCTAGATGAGGCACGACCCCACCTTCCCTGTTGTCTCAGGGTTTCATGTTATCTCCTGCCAGACAGCTCAGCCAGCCTTACAGCTGCTTCTGCACATGGTAAAATGATGGAGCACCCTGGACCACAACAGCTCCACTGACAGTCAGGAGACACAATGCAGTAGGAGAGCTCCCAAATTCAGCACATATGCACTGGACGGGATTGCCTTGGGGTGACCCCACCACTCTAAGGCTGAGGAACTCTTTCCTCCAACTGCTGAACAAGGTGGAAAAACAGTTGTAACAGAAGCCTGGCTGGATCAGAGTACTAGGCACCCCGTGTGTTCCTTCCCAAAACTAGCTCCTCCATTGTTAAGCCTCTCCAGTGCTTCCTGGCCCCTGCAGGGATGAAAGGGTGGACAAACACCACCCTCCCAACCACACAGATCACATAACATAGCAAAGACTTCTCTTTCCACCACACAGAACTTCCCCTTGAAGTAGCCTCAGGTGAAATAGATTAGAGGTGACAGGCAGAGACAGCGCAAGGTGCAAGGTTTGTACCAAGGTACAACTTCTGCCAATCCTTTATAACCTTCCCCAAAAATACTGCAGTACACTTAATGCTCAGGGGAAACCACGCTCTGCAGCACAGCCGCACTGACCTGCAGATTCAGAAACTCGTAGCAGAGTGCTCTCTATGCACAGAGCAGGGAGCTGCTGAGGGAGCAAGCAGGTAAATTCCTGGCCTAACTCAACTGTGCTTGCAACACTATTTCTCCTACGTGCAGGAGATCCTCAAGCACTTTCACACGTAGCGAGGTTCAGAGACTCCCCTAAGGTTATACACGTCACTGACAGAGCCAGAAACAACACCTAATTCTTTAAATCTAACTCTTTAACCATCCTTGCTCAGTTGTGGGCTTCACCTATCAGGCTAGGCTCTGCTTAAAACTGTATCACTCAACTCATAAGCAGGGTATTGAGTCATGATGCTGACAGCTTCTTCGGCACTATTTGCTTTAAATGTGACATTGTAAAATCAGTGGAAACAATTCAGTTTGACTTGAATCTTAAATCAAGTTCAGTTAACGGAATCAGGTCATTTCAGTTTTAGAAAGTCATACAGCCTTTAGTACCACTCTCATGTTTGTTTCGATTCACACCTTCAGTTATAATGGAGAAGCCTTCCCTCACATACCAGTGCTCTCCCACAGCTACACACCCAAGTGAAATATTCAGATGATGCAGGAACCTGCACTAAACAGCAGCTGAAGGTGAAAGAAAAAGCAGCAAGACTCAAAGGGAGGAAAAGGACTTAGAAGGTGCCACCTAATTTCTGACCAAACAGAAATAACTGGAATAAAGTTGCCCCTAAAAGTATACAGGGTCTCCTCGCCACAGCCTCGCCTTCACCCTCCAGAAAGACAAATAAGTGCCAAGAGACAGACCCCTCCTCGGCCAGCCCCAGGGACAGTTGACCAGAAGAAACCTCTCCAGTCTGGGTCCTCGAAGATGTAAGGCAGGATACGAGTGAGGAGCCGGCAGCAGTTCAGGACGATTTGCCTCTCCTTCTCCGTGTGGCAGCCACTCTCTGCTCCCTGCACCAGCTTCTCCACAGCCTGAAGGAAACAAAACCAAGGCAGGTAGCGTTAGCCTGGACACAAGTCAGCAAGAGTTGGGCAGGTCTATCCTGTTGGTGACACCCTCACATGGAGTTATAAGCAGCTCTTGGAGCCCATTTTCCCCGAATTCAACGGTACAGGTGCTGTTGCTGTTTGAAACACTGCAGAAATAGGGTTAATGATCTTAAACTCATCTTCTTGAATTTCTACTGTCCTGCTGCAAGAGACCTCACGCATCAGGGCTAATCCATGCTGCACACGTGTCATGCCATGTGAGACAGACAACCAGAGCACCAGAAGGCTCCTTCCAGCACTGCTCCATGACACCACACACTGCCAAGAGCAGATCAGATTAATCAGCCGCATCAGGTACACGAGATGCGGGCAGAACCGAGGCAGCAGCGCTGTGCTGCATGGTGTGAGGCACTGGCAGGGGAAGATTCGTTCAAGGCCAGGTTGGACAAGGCCCTGAGCAACCTGATCTAGTTGGAGATATCCCTGTTCCTTGCAGGGGGGTTGGACTAGATGACCTTTGAAGGTCCCTTCCAGCCCTAACCATTCTATGATTCTATGATTCTATGATTGCACTGAAACACACAAAATCTGACAGATCTGTATGTGCTGCTGTGATTGCAGCAGGGATCTCTCCTGACTCGGGAGGCGGGAGCTAAGCTGCTGTCTGTGACTATTAAGGTACCCTGAGAATAGGTCTGCTGCTCTGGAAAGAGCTTCGGGGCTGAGTCTCTGCAGTCCTTCCAGTCACTACTGAAACTGCTAATGGAGACAGTCATGCCGGGTTTTTCAGACTAGGAGGTGGGTCTTGCCAGGCAGCAACCATAGTCCCAAGAGGCAGCGGCCGGAGGTTTTATCCGCAGATAGAAAAAGGCAGCTCCTTCCCCGAGAAGCTGAACCCACTCGCTCTTCTTCCCTGATCCCAAGGGGAAACAGAGGGGGAATGAAAGCCAAAACATTTACCAAGGATTCACCTTGCTGCTTTTTAATTCATGAGGTCATGTGTCCCTGCTTAATTTCATAGCAGACTGTCTGGGTCACTGACTCTGCCAGCCTGCGTCATCGCCTTAATGGGTATTTCAATGCTGTTTGTGTAGTCTCAGACAGTCCACACACTACTCTGTGACTGAGCTTGACCGTTTTTTCGGGCGCATTTATGACTCTGTACAGTCTGAGTCTCCAGCCACAACTGCAAATGACATTTCAGCCATGCCTTTGTGCTCTCCATGAACACGCAGCATTGCTAAGACCAGTGGCACATTGCACCTGGCACAGGTCAGGGCACGCAGCTTGGCAAAAGCACTGCAGGAGCCCACAGGCTCCTCTCACTGCAATATCCCAACACCTAGGGCTCCTGGATAAATAGCCCTGCAGCGACCAGGTCTCCCAATAGATCTGTTTCCAACAGGGAGAACAGCCCATATTTTAGTCTTGGTTTGGGGGGAAAGAGGACACAGAGACAAACGGGTTATGTGGTCAGTACAGGTCTCCTCAGCCCTTCTCGATTCCCAAGCTGCTGATTGCCAGAAGCCAGGAGTACCAGCATTAGGGAAGAACCATTCCATTTCTCCTAATTTTTGTGTTCTTTCTCAAGTATCCACTACAGGCATCTGTCCAAGGCACAATTCCCAGTCAGAGGTACCTTCAGCATGATTCAGTGGGTCTCAATCACATTTTGTAGAGCAGGAAAGGAAAACAGGACAACAACCATCTAAAACTGGGAAAATGCCATTCCAAACATTTCCAACACTACAAATTCAAGGCTACTCTTTGCATGGCTCAAATCAGGTGCATTATTAACACCTGCACTTTCCCAGGCAGAAAAAGTCTTGGACTGTTCCCTGAGCAGCATCAGCTGCTGCTCACCAGCTTGACAATTTGCCAAACCTGGCAGGGTAGGAAACGTGAGTCAATGTCCCTTGTGCTGCTATTAAGGACGTGACAACATCAGAAGCAGCATCAGGGATGTTCTGATGTCGCAGCAGAAGGAAGAAAAGTCTTAGGATTTCCCTCAAACTTCATCCAAGCACTTTTACAGTGACAAACTCCACATCCCTCTGGGATCTGTGAGCTTGAAGCCAGACTGATACACAGTGAGGAGCAATTAGACGCAGACAGGGAATCGGATGTTTCAGCCTCGCCACAAATATGCAGCTTGGTACAAAGTCACCCAAGTAGGAAGCACTTTACACAGCAGGCAAGACCCAAGAGGGCATGGTGAGACACAGAGGGGACAAGAGGAAAAAGGCTCCAAAGCGAGCAGCTGCCAGCCGTGGTCTGTGCTAAACCAAGAGAGGAAGGGCTGAGAGTCATCATCAGGAAGCACAGCATGCAGTGCAAGGAAATAATATGGTACCTGCCTCCCCTCAGGAGCCACAGCACTACTGATCCAGGGACAGCCCGCTACAAGCACAGTACCAAGGAAGAAGGCAGCACCATCCTTACCTTATAACACAAAGTTGCCAAGTTTGAAGGGGATTCTTCTCTCACTGCTCGAATCTCTGCAGCTGGTACAAGGGCAAAGACATCCTGCACTGAAGTGGCTGTGTCTGCCCAGAATTGGTCCCAAAAAGCATCATCTGTTGCCTCCACGGGCTGTGGAGAGACAAACAAGGTTACATATGCAGAGCTATCATTCTGTGAGGTCCAAACATCAGTGATTATGCCTGGCTTGGGAACAGGACCATGCCACTGTTGGCAGAGAACAGAAGAGGCTAAATAAAACATACTAGCACTGGGTTTATATCTCAACTTTTGTTACCAGGGCTTTGGTAGACTTGATCTCCTAAACAACACACCCTCAGCAAGAGGGTGAGCAGCAAGATATTTATGTGACCAACTGCATCAGACTGGGACTATCCAATTCTTTCACGGAGTTAAAACATACATGAGGCCTCCTGCTTGTCTGCAACCGAGGGTATGTATTACAAGGTCTGTACCAACATGCATGGGCCAGGCTGCTGTCCTTCACTCTGTCCCCTTCAGAGCAAGCCAAGGATGCCCTGAGCATGCACTGAAATTACTTCTGTTGTAACCAAAAGTCTCAAGGAAGCAACCAGGGACACACCTCACATTAGGGCACGAATAGACCCACGGAACCGAAAGACCCACCCCAAAGCACTTACGGATGCAACGGAATTGATCTTTCTGAATCAAATATTTATGAGGAGCTGGACTCAGTGCAGCCGGTCACTGCCAAGGCTTTGTTCTTAAAAAGCACTGTGTGCAATTCAAAGAGGAAGATGGAAGGAGGAGGCTGAGATACCAAAAGAAAGCAATCCATTTCAGACCTGCGGTCTGAGAAGCCCATCCCGCATGTCTGGGAACATACCTCTCCCCATTACCTTTTCTGGCTCCAGGTGCAGACAACTCCCTCTTTTACCAGCACTGTTGTCCCTTTTTCACAGTGAGAGAACAAGGATTCTCCTCAAATGCCCCCTGAAAGCCCAGTGCTAGGGATGCTGGCCACAAGGACAGTCTGTTTGCCACACTGCAGCTGGAAAGATAACGCTGTACAGCCAGCTGCAGAGTCCCAGTGTTATTTCCCCCAGCTTCCTCCTGACAGCGTGGCACCAACTCAGAAATCAAACTAACAATGATGACAACCTGGGAGTCAGGTTATATGTGGCTGAACAAAGCAGACTGGACCTCGCTTTGCCCTTTATGGCTTTGCAGAGCCAGAGAGCAGCGCTGGCCACTCAAGGTGAAGCGGAGGCTCAGACACACAGGGCCAGCGGTGCCTCCAACCCTGCGGAAGCACGGCAATGACCTGCCACTCCTCAAAAGGTGAAAACACCAGCACTGTTTGCTGAACAAGAAGGCACCTCCATTACACAACATCTCAGCCATGCAAAGCCTGGGAGCTTTGAACAACCAGGAAAGACTTAATTTTTCATCCAGCCTGGAACTGAGCACAGCTCTTCCCATCTAAATGCGGATACTTGCCGAGAGACAGGCATTGCCCAAACAAGGCTGGAAGTGTTCATCCAGCCCAAGCGTCCTGCTACAGAAGTGAGATAAATACATGTGTATTTATGCTGAGCAGTGCAAAAGAGACGGATCCACAGTTTCAGTCAGAAGAGGAAAAGGGAAGCTTTTCCAGAGGAGTTTCCCCAGCGGTGCTGAGGCATGGTGGCACTTTCGGCAGGTCAGAAAAGCCACCTGCCCGAGCACCCCCAGCCCTTGGCAAGGGGCAGCATCCTGCCTGCAATGCCCAGCAGCTCTAAAGCAAACAGCAGCTCTCACTGTGATAATCAGCCCCGTGGGTGGGTCTACCACGTCAGATCGGAAAGGGGCAAAAAATATGAATGAGTGTTTAACTTAAACAATTCCTGCCCACTCTGAGCTCTGCTGTAGTAGGCAGAAAACGTGCCCAGCTCTATGCTGTTTCTAAATGGAGCCAAGACATGACTCTGAGAACAGCTCATTCACAGCTCTGACACCAAGTGCTGCATTTCCTCCTTTGCCATCACCTCTGGAATTAACAGCCAGACTCTGCAAGCAGGTGACGTGTCACTATCACCCAAAGGCCAAAAAGTCAGAGGGGCAGGCAGGCAGCCCACTCCCCAAACTGGTATAGCAGGTTACTGCCCTGCAGCTCTCTTCCTTCATGCTCCAGTGCCACAGAGGCTGCTTATTGCTTGTCCTGGTCCTTCCAGCCATGTAATGAATCAGGCCAAGTGACTCCCCAGTCTTTAAAAACAAAACCAGAAAAAAAACAACCACAGCATACATGTTTAGACATCTTCTAGCACTCTGTTCTAGTGCTGAAACACTCTTCATTTTATCACCTGGCCTCCAAAGCACATTTCCACCAAACCCCTTTCCAAGGGAAGAGCAACTTTTTCCAAAGGGTTCAAGACCACAGCTCCTCAGAGGGGATCTGTAGGAACAGCCGAGTGTTTACAGCCTGACTTTCATCTTCCTGAGAGTTTGAAGGAGCTGTGCTCTTTGTAACCTGGGCATGAAACACTTAAATGGAAGAAAAGCTATTTTGCAAATCTCATCTCTAATTACACTCCTCAAAAAGAGCCAAGTATTTGGAAATCTGACATATGTAATGCACGAAACGTCCTACACTTCCTACATCCCCTTTCAAACCACATACCACAACCGCACACATAATTGCCACATATACCTGCTGGCTGCCTGCCACAGCCACTCCCACCAACAACAGAGAGCAGCAATTGCTGCTAATTGGAGATCATGCATAAATAATGGGCTTCACTCTCATCTAGAAGGGAAGGAGGAAACCATTTCCCTCCAGCAGACACAGATCCCTTTACCTCCTGCTAGCCTGAGGCCTCCTCAGAGGTTGAACACAGCCGCTATTTTACAGATGGCAACACAACAGCTAAGACGCATTGAAGAACATGGTCTCCGAGTAAAATTACATGGAGGTAGAGGAGCGTAGCAGCAAGTACTAAAGCTGCAACATTGGATGCTGCAGCCACATTAATGTCACGACTGCCATCTTGGCATTACAGTAAAACACCGTTTCTGTCATTTTTAATAGCTGCAGCAAGTCAGGTCTTCATCCAACAGATGGTATCCTGTGTACAATCCCAGGACACGGATTCAGTATTGAGTCACTCACATCCCCACAGCCCCCCTGTTTTAATTAACAGTCTGGCATCATGAAGACACTCGATCTACATAATATTCATCTCCTTGATAGAACATTACTGGATGTTTTTAAGCTGATTGTACTCTGCACACAGCATCTCTGGGGATCTAAATATTCATTTCCTCATGCTGAGCTCACCCAGCAGCCTGTATCTGCATATGGGAAATACAGAGACCTACAACAGTCTTGTTCACCAGTCATGGTTATCTTCATTCAGAAACATTAAGATTTAGTTACAAGTGTTGGTGTTGCACATGCTGCCGTAACAAATCCTGCAGCTAGCCTTGACAGTGCTTTAGCCAGAAGAGCTCACGAGCAGCTGAATCCTCACCAGCAATGTTGTGAGCTGGGGCCGCTCCAGATCCTCCAGATCAGCACAGATGTGTTCTCTCTTGGTGAAAGAGCTGCAGCACAGATAAGAGCGAGCCTGATGTTCCTCCAGCACAGTGCAGGTGACCAGCTCTGCACCCGCGGTGCAATGAGAACGAGAACTTCATCATTGCCACAAGAATCAAGGGATCGGTAGCTCAACTCTACTCCGGAAACACAACCGGCACGTCTGGAGAGCAAAGGAAGTTCCTGACCCGCCGCGGCGGAGGCTGGCCATTTACAGAGCCAACTGGCAGAGAGAGACGCTGCTGCCCGAACCAAGGTCTTCGCAGCAAAGGGAAGAGACAACTGCAGCACAGAGAGGTTGCTGAGAACACACTGGGCAGAGCTGAGGCGATGTGACATCTCAGAGGGGGCAAGGAGGGAGACTTTTGCCTTCAGCTCACCTGGGCGAGGTGTAAAGACCTCCCACCTGCACTCTGGCCACACAAAGGTGGAACCAGTCCTACTGGACACTTCCAGTCTTTATTTCCCAATACTTATAAATGTTGGGTTTCAGGTTCTTTAGAGCACACCACGCACACACACTGCAGGAGTCAGAAAAGGAAGACACTCAGTTTGCAAGCATCTCACCAGTTACTGAATGGAGAATCACAGCCCTGAGCAGGCAAACACCAGGCAAACAGGATACGTCACAGGGAACAGGAAAACAGAGCTGAGCTGACTCTGTCCTATAAACAGGAAAAGGTCCCAAGGCACAGCCTCCCCCCATTCCTTACTGTCCTCAGCCTGACGCTAGTACCGCCTTCGCTTTCTTGTTCCGATACAGCCCCTCACACACCCAGGCAGGGTGAGTGTTTGCACCCTCCTCCCAACCAAGAGCTCTCTGCACTTACACCTTTACATTGAATGCCCGTTCCCAACAATTCCTGCAACATGTCCCTGCCAGGGACTGTCCTTAAACCAATTCTGAGGTTTCTGCAAATCACCAGCCAAGAATCAAGGGGCCAAGCAGCCGCTAGTCTTGCTCACTGCATTCTCCTTTTGCTTCTTGCCAATGCACCAACTGAGCATCCCACCAGCCGAGACAGTGACGCACTTGGGGCAAGGACTCTCCTTTTTCTGGGACTTGACAGCAGAGCAGGGGTCTCATCCCTCACCAGGGTTTCTAGCCAGTACTAGGCAAGCTCAGATAATACGTAACAGCATGCTCATTTCCACCCCAAACGAGGCAGAACCATGGAGTCTAACGACCACAGAGCCATTCACGCAGCTCTTGATTGAGCTCTAGAAGATCAGGCAACCCTGCAGAGCCAGTGGATCAGTTTGAGGCAATTCACACACTTTTGTAGTACCTCTTTGTGAGCCACCGTGCAAAAGGAAAGTCTGAGGGCAGATTTATTCAAAACGTTAATAACGAGCAAGACTTCGTTCCTGCTGCCAAGGACAGCAGCTCCACACAAATTTCAGAGCAATAGTAATTTTTCCTATAGGATCTTTGTGGTCAGCAGTGCAGAATCAAGGAGAGGCTCCGTACGAGTCTGTCTCCAGTTCTCCGCTCCCACAGTAGAGATCGTGTTGCAAAGGAAACTGGAAAATGAGATTTGTGGAACTCTGGCAGGGAAAGCCTAGGACAAAA